AGCTCGAGCTCCCAAACTTATCGACCTGCCTTAGGATGGCACCTCACAAAAGCATTCGTACCTATATCTAGGACATTGATATTCAAGTCAAGTTTACCTTGAGTGAGATTGGTATTTAGGGCGCGTTCCTTGAGAGTGAGAAACCCAAATCATACCAAGTCTTTCTACCTCTCATCAGTCCTGTCAGCACCATCGGATGACAGCTTACATAAGGTTGGTGCCACGGAAGGAAGGCAAAAGAGACTAAGAAGCCTTAGTTAGGTAAGGCCGTCCAGGTCCCCATGCCGGCGACGGGAGTGCCGCACCGGCATCCGCAGTTCATGCAGCCCGATGGAACATGGAACTCCCAGGTTCCTGCTTTCCTTTTCGGGCATCGGGTTTGCCATGCTGCAGTCTCGTTCCCTTGTTGGATGACGACGGAATCCTCGTATGATGGTGCACCACTGCACCAGTGCATACAGGCTAAGCGAGCTGATCGGAAAAAAGAAGTTTTACCGCATCTACCTTACCTTGGACTTGGGTGTCGGGATGGATTTTGGGCGATGCGCTCCGAGCCCGTCTCCTTTTTCTTGAAGTACGTTAGTGCCTCGTCTTCCGTGCTTCCCACCTTCCCTAAGTCCAGGGCGAAAGGATTGATGTACGGTGGCTTGCGGCGGCAAGATACACGACCTGCCTAGCGCAGATCGTCTTCGGAATCAACGAGCTAAGGCGGTCAATGAGTGTACGAATAGGCACGTGCCTGACCGTTGCCGACCCCTCATCGGGCAGGAGGCCCAGAAAGCGCAGTTCACAGGCTGGATTCGCCCCCTTTCCACCAATCTGCCGCCAAGTTTGGTCTTTACCTAGGTACGGGGATACGCCGCACGAGGGGGCTTTGACTGTGCCCCCGTGTCGCAACTACCAGCAATTCCTATCCAGCCAACCAACCCCTGGCTAAGATACGACTAGGGATCGGACGACCAGACAAATAACAGGTCGGATGGGGCCAGCGTTCGCCAACAATCCGACAAGGTCTTGTCAGAGACGGGGCCGAATTCGTGCGTGGCTTATTCTTCAAGAATAGCTTCGGACGATCTGAAAGATTTGATAGGACAGCGCAGGCGCAACCCCACGGCGGCACACCTATATCAGTGTTACTTTGATGTGCAAACATGAGCCAACATTATGCGCCGCAACCTGGGCTTGCCGTATTGTTCTCATCCTCTTAGCTCTGTAGCCCGTCGAAGTAAGAGGCAATGAACAATGTGGGATACTTCAAGAGACGGTGGAAATGCGCCTTTCTTGCGAGAGAATTGGAGATGATTGCGTTGCGTACATACAGATCGTACGAGCACTCGCCAAAGAAAAGTGAATGAATAACTGAGTCGCCTTCGCCGTTTACAGGGCTTCCCCCTCCATTGAACGTCATCCCTGGACCCCCATTTCCATTTCCTCAACCCCTGCCCAAGCGGGCTCATCCTGGCTGGCAGCGCGCGGCACAGACTCAGAGTAGTCTCCCTCAGATCGGGCCCAGGCCCAGTTGGGGGATCCTCCACCCCAATCCATACTCCATGGCGAGCCGCCAATGTGACTTGCCTCAACGGGAACGTAGGTACGCACACTGAGCCGAGGGTGACGAAAGGTCAAAAGTCTCTCACCTCCAGGTGTAAGTCGTTACTTCGGATGGGATCGATGACCGACTTTTGTCAAATCATCGGATGACACAGCTTTGGCGGTGATGCTCGAAGTAGGTTGATCAGGTAAAAAGCCAAAAGACGAGAAAAACATGCAAGAACTTGCAGGAGCAACATGCAGACACTAAACCCTCGGGGCCTCTCCTTCCTTTTCCTCGTTCCAGTTCATGTTGCCCTGAGGTGAATAAGGTAAGGTAAGGTGCCTACCTCAGGTAAGGGAGCACAGGGCTTACCTCAACCAACATGGAAAGGTGCCCGGACCTGCTCCCTTCTCAAACCTGACCACCCCTCGCATCAGGATACATACGTGCCTGCCTACTCTTCCGTGCTTGCTTGGTGAATTAGAAGTAAGAAGTAAGGTAGCTCCCCACTGTCGAGTTCAGAGAGGACTACCTATCAAGTATCAGCCATCAATGGCCCGACACGCCCGTCACCACCATGGTTCGTCTGCCGCGACTTGCCTTATCTACCTTGGGTATAGACCGACAAACCTCGAACTACCTTAGTAGACGACACGTCGGATGCCCTCAAAACCGACAGAGAAGACACATAGCCAAACACGTCCCCGTCTATACCTCTATTTGACGCGACTGTACTAATTTAACGTGGACGTGACAAGGTCCGCGGGCTGTCAACTGCTATCGTTGCACTTGCACGAGGGGGAAACCCCGGGCTGTCTTCACAGCCTCCTGCCCGTGCTCGTGCCTTTTATTTCTTCCCCCACCCCCTTTCCCCTGTTCATGACAGAAGGAGGAGGGGAGGCCCCTCGTCGCAAGTGACTTGGCTCTTTGCGTTATTTTCCCCCGTCGAGGATGTATCTGGGCTCTTTGCTCATGATCCAGCCCCGTGCATCTCATACGGGCCAACAGTGCCTTCCATCCCATGATCCCATCGGATCGGTTGGCCCCTGCCATTATTTCTGGCCCATGTCCTCCCGTCCCTTCTGCATGTAGGTAAACCAACTTGGTAAGGTGAGTTGCACCGCTCTCTCCGTTGAGGCAAGGTAGTCCCTCCCTGGACTGCAAGTGTAAGTGCAAGTGCGAGTGACATGTGGGTGCGGGAGTAGGAGCGTGCTGCGTGTTCCTTCTTCAATACGGCAATATCCCTCCTCCCTCTCTAAATCTGAAATATTACCCTCGCTCCCCGCTCCCTTCTCATTCCCCTGGAACCTCACCTGCGAGCTTCTTCCCTTCTTTTCTCTCCGCCGTGTACCTTGTTTCTTCTCTTCTGCTCATTCGGAATCTTCTTCAGCTATTCTCCCCACTTCGTCCCACGCCTGCTTTTCTCTTCCATTCCTCCCACTTCGACTTGACCGTTTAACTTCCATTCCAGCTTTGGTCAAATTGTTTCGCCTCTCCCGCCCCCTCCCGCTGCAAGTCCATCCAACCTGACTTGACCTGACTCTCTCACTACGTCGACCATCTGCCGCCCGTTTTGACCCAGATCACTTCAGCCATTTACCTCACTGAGCCTTGGGGGTTCGCGTTCTGTTGTCAATTTCCTCACCTCTTCCGTCACCTTGGCCGTCTCTTAAGGCAGTCTCACACATTCTCTCTGGCTCTATCTCGCGCCACTTCACGCTCTTCTCGACCGTCTGCATCGTGTCAGAGTACCTCACCAATCACTTCAACTTAGGACAGACCATGAACTTCTGTGCGAGACTCTGAAAGGTCTGGTCCTATGCGCACCAGGTGTTGGGAGATTCCAGAAGTGACACGCCGGATTCTTGTCTCCAGGACGCTTCGCTAGACGTGGATTACATCAAGTATTCTGTTACACTTACCTCCACCAATCTCATTATGAGACGTCAATTCTGGGTTCCAGCTTTCGCCATTGCGGCCCTTTCTGGCAACGTCTGCGCGCAGCTGGATTCATTGCCACCATGTGGTGTAAGTCACTATCGAGATGATCATCCAGAGATATGATTGGCTGCATCAAGACACATTTCTAGAACACTGAGCGAATATCAAGGACTAACACGCTTGTGCTCCGCAGATTACCTGCGTTAACAATGTCATTGCTAAAGGCTTTGGTTGCGCCTCTGGAGACAATGCCTGCCTGTGTAAACAGCAAGACTTTGTGTTTGGTATTCGGGACTGCGCATCGCAGTCATGCGCCGCAGATGTAGCACCCAAAGTCAACGAATATGTCACGAGTCTCTGTACAAGTGAGGGAACTTCGTTCGCCGATCCAGCAAAAACCTGACTAACTTTCCATGATAGCTGCAACTCAAGCACCTCCTGCTTCGACGCCACCTGCATCAAACCCACCACCTTCCACACCCGCCGTTCAGCAGACAACCCCTCCGGCCGCGCTTCCGTCGACTTCTCAGCCGCCTCCGGCACCGGCAGGCTCGAGCGAGCCACCGAAGCCCAGCGTAGCTGAGACACCCGCTTCCTCTGAAGTCGCCAAAACAGTCCCATCGGAAACTTCTAGCAATCCCGTCACCGATACTGCTCAGGCGTTCCAGCCGTCAACTGCAATTTCAACCACCCTTGTAAGCTTCAAACCCATTCTATGACGATAGGTTCAAAACTGATCAATTCCTTTCAGGCCACATCCACGAGGTCATCATCCTCTACCTCTTCGAGGTCGACGTCTACTTCTACCGGAGCTCGCCCATCGCAATCCGGCTCAGCCTCAGAGACTGGGGCAGGCAACCTAGAGAGCGATGCGGCAGGTCTTTCTTCATCCGCCAAGATAGGTATCGGTGTTGGAGCAGGTGTCGGTGTCCTAGCCATCGCCTTGGCCTTGTGGCTTCTCATAAGACGGCCAAGGAACCGCACGAAGTCTATGCAGATTTCGGGCCCCATGCCTGGCTCCGGCAGAGACTATACCGGAGGTTTCATTGGCATGAAGGACAAGAATCACTCGGAGCTTGAGATGAAGTCGAGAAGGTACGAAGACATGTTGCCGCGCCAGTCACCCAGACGTTTCGAGTAAGAGGCAGTTCTCTGAGGCACTCACCCTGCCCGTCTTCTTGGCTGGCGATCCGAGTGTGGGTCCCATCTGAGGCAGATGAGCAGTGCGGACGGATGCCTTCTACATTATGAATTATGACTAAATGAATGTTAATGAGCGGTTGCGGTGGACAAGGGGTCAGGGGCGGTTGTCGAAAAAGGTCAGCATTATACCACGGGATATCCTATTTCTATTGCATACATACACCCAAAGGCACCGGTAAGGTGAGAGGGATTGGCAGCGAAGATGGCGTAAAGGACTCTATGACAGCTTTTCATTGTACATATTCTTACAGGTTTTGAGTGTGTTACAAGACGGTATTTTAAGCACTTCCGGTTATGTGTCTTCCCGTTGTGACTTGTTTTTTTACCATGAGTAGTAGGGTCTCTGGGCCGTGACTGGCCTGTCAGGCAAATGTACCCAGGGCTTCCTTTTCGCCTGCTTGGCCAACTTCTCCGTGTGCTCCCGTATCCTCGTTTTCTCCTCCTTCAAGACGATCGAAATGCCTGCGAAATATTGTTAGTCTCACTGTAGATGAGATGAGTGGCATGATGAGAGAGTATCAAACATACTTGTTGAGGGGGACTGCATGATGCCGAATCTGCCTCTGCCCTTGTAGTCAAGTTCCTTGGCCCTCCAAGGTCCTCGGCCAACCCAGGCTTCAGCAACATAGAGCCTTCTCGGATCTGGGATAGTCAAGCTCTTGCCGTCCTTGGTCTGAATTTTGATGGGCTGCCTTTCCTTGCCAGTCAAGTCCTTGGTACTGCGGACGATACCCATGCGACGGGTGACGACAGCCAAATCTCTAGCCTCCTCCAGCTGGTACTTGACTTCGGCCGCCATCTTCTTCTTGGAGTATGACATCTGCAGAACGGCCTCTTCGAGGGATTTGCCCTGGATCTGGCGCGCGAGATGCACAAGCTTCTTGACGCTGGTCTCCAAGAAGGGGCTCTTGTGAGACAGCTTCTTCTCGCTCTGTGCGATACGCTCGTCATGGGTGACGTGGCCGTTTTTGTGCACCATCTGGATGACCTTCTTTCTCTCCCAGCGGAGGCGACTTCGCGGATCGGGGTCGAGGCGCCACGCCATCGTCTCTGGTGTCTTGACCGACGCCTGGGCAGCTTGGGCCTGGGAGCCGCCCTTCTTGGCGTCCGCGACGACATCGTCGACTTCCTCCTCGAAGATTGAGCTGGACATCTTGGGCTGCTGTGACTCGGCAAAGCGTTCGCGGACCTTGGGATCGTCGAGGTTTTCGCCCATCATATCATCGGAAGATTTGGCTTTCCTGCCGCGACGGCTGCCGAAGATGCTGCCGAGGGTCCATTTGCTTCGAATTTGAGTAGCTGGTCGAAGGGGCAGAATAAAGGATCGAGGAATCGGTCGGGCGATGGCTTGGAGTGTCGAGGGAGCTGTTAGGGAAAGTTAGCTACTCAGGAGCCCGATTCAACAGCTAACGGCGAAATGACAAAGGTTTGAGGGGCTTGGATGAAGCCGAAACAATATCAATTGGCAACATACCGGCAGAGGCTAACCGCCTCGTAGGAAGACTCATGGCGACTACTGGTGTTGCGGATTCAAGCTAATTGATCGTCAACCAGCTTCAAGCCCACCCGTTACGGGAAAAAATGCTCGGAAGATCCCATGCGCGTTGATGGTCGTTCCTGGGCCACGTCCCCTAGTGCTGTTTAGCCGGCGTTCCTCCGGACCCTGGGCTTACCTAAGGCGTTTTTTTTTTAATTTGGCTGAGATGCAAGGAAAGCTGGCATGGCCAACCAGGGCGAAGCAGTTTCAATCACCGAAATGCTTAGCTAAGTCCCAGCACGCCGTCACAGAGCCGTTTACCTTGGTTGAAGAGGAATTGAACATCACGTGATATTTCCCTTCGCGCGAATTGATCAGACCATTCGAGCTACCCGCCAAAGATCTCAGCATCGTCAAACCACCCTCCGATTACGAACTCTCGGCTCAATCGACTACCACAACCCTCTCCACACTACACATCACAATGGCCGGCGCTACTGCTGTTAAGCCCATCACGGGCGTGCGTTTCCCCCCCCTCCGGACATTGCAATTCCGGCAGATCCACGGAGGAAGAAGGAAGAAGGGCAACGGACTGTGGGCTAACGATGACTGACAGATGCTGAGACGCAACCTCGTCCTCGACCTTGGTATCGCCCTCGGTAAGCCTATCTTTGTGGGCAGAGCTGGAGTTTGCAGATTTGCGGCTGCTGGATTGGGGGTGGCATGCGTCAATTGAGCCTCCTGACTTCAGCATGCAGCAATCTGCTACTCCAGCGTTCCACCCTTTTTCCCGTCATAATCCGAGAACGACTCAATTAACCATGCCTCACAGGTCTCGGTTTCGCCATGGCCAACGTCTACTGGTACGCGATCGATCACTAATGTCTACAGAAAGTCTCCCCCAAAAACTAAGATTGAATCATAGGTACGGCTTCCACATGCCGCGTACGAACGCCCGCGACAACTACTACGCCAAGCTCGAGCAGCAGAAGGCCGAGGCCCGCAAGGCATAAGCGAATACCAAGCAGCCGAGACGAAATGGGAAGGGAAACAAATGGGGATGGTGCTATTAGATTGGGCGGAGGAAGCACGAGAGGGCATTTGCAGTCATAGACAAGATACGGGCTTCATCAGTTGATCATCCAACCCCGATTGTACCATACAACTTCAGCAACTGAACCAGGAACCTCTTTACGTGAATTGGTGCGGTGCATGCGTTCGAGTCGATTGCAGTTGCCTTGCTCGGCGGAACGCGGTTCATCAGGGCGATGTCATTGGATTCATACTGCTGCTTCAACATTGAACAATCTTGCTTTACTCAAACTCACAGAAAAGCACTGTGACAGACTGCAGCATGGTTGTAGAGGACTCGCTTGTCTTGTCTAATTGGTTCATGGCGGCAGAGATCGCACAGTCTTCACTTCTCATACCTGTGTCGATAGAATTCATGATCGATGTCGGAGAGTTGATATGTGATCTGAGGATATAAATACAGCTTTGATTTCGGTGAACTTGAGCCTTTCGCCCAATACATATTCCGGCCGGACTCTATCATCGTACAATCGTCTAGGTGGAGTTCATTCATCGCCTCTGTGCCTACTCTGCGCTTCTGATGGGACAACCAAGATATCCGGATGATTTCCAATTTGCGCCTAAGTCGTCGTGGACACATCGGAAACAATGGTTATAAACCTCACTCATCCTCCCATGCCTGAGACCATTGATGATATGACGGCTCATTGGAATGGCCGTCTTGCGATTTGCCGTGGCCTGTAGCTTGAGAATTGTGACGAGTGGTGGGGTTTGAATTTGAACCCTCCCAAGCCGTAGTCTCAACCGTGAACGTGCCCTTTTTGTCCTGACATCTAGTGATTCACATACAATCAGTAAACAGTAACCCCCTGGCAACGAATAACTGTGCGACGTTGACGAAGCGGCATCGGGAGAAATAGAAACTCACTGTCGGAAGAGTCGGTGAATCGGCCAGCACCGGACCGGGCTGTTTCGGGACTGCGAATTCTCGACAAAGCACCTGTACTGCGTCATCTCCTTCAACGCACACTTGGTCAGGTCGACGTCGGCGCCTCCCGGCAGCTTGCGCTTCTTCCCCTTGACATCGGCTTGGACGTGCACGTCAAGTTTCGACGGTGGGAACGCGGCACACGGCGGCGACATTTTCTGGCGGCGACGGCGACGGCGCCCGATATGGAAATGGAGATGCCCTCGGCGGCGGCTCTAGCCGGGGCAAGGCTGCTGGGCGAAATCGAGGAGACGAGTCTAGATGAGGTACGCAAAGATCACGAATCCGCCCTGTTTGCGCAAGCTGGAGAATCGGGTTGAGGGACTTTTTCTTCAATTGGTTCCGGTCGATAAAAGCTGGACGAGTTGATGTTTTCGTCCAACTTTTGGTCCGTGTATCGAACCTTGCCGAAATCCTCACGACCTCTGCCCACCCTATTCTCTACTAAACGTAGCCATCTTCAATCTCATCACTTGCACTCATTATTCAATCCCGCATCGTCGATTGCGATCACAATGAAGTCGCACATATTCACTGGCGCTGACATTGGGCACCACAGATACTGCATGCCCTCCGCATAGCGGTTAATCCCGATGCACCAATAAATAAACTAAGGCACCCAAAGTCGTATCCCGTTCCCGGCCTCGACGATCTCGTCCATCGCAACTTTCGTGCGACAAAGTCCGCGCCGTTGGCTGTGACCGGCCGCCAGCTCCCGCTCGTCTACGCACTCGTCTCGACGCTTTTGTCACATCCGCACAACAAGACGGTACTGATCATCGACACGGAGTATCGCTTCGACGCAACTCGCCTCCTTTGTGACCCAGACGACCTGCGCCACGCCTACGTGCATCGTCCAGCCCGCCGTAGCACTACCGCCAATAGCCGCAGCGGCGGAAGCGGGAGCGGGAGCGGGAGCGGAGGCGGCGCCGGCATTGGCATCGGCGCGGAGCAAACCCGGGAGCTCGTCGCCGCTGCTGAGAATTGGATGCTCTACGGCGGCCACCACAGCGGCGCCCGGGAGTGGTGGGGGACCATCGTCATCGGCGCCCTCGGGGCCGGGGACGTGACGGCCGCCTGGAAAGGCTGGCTGCGCGTCGACCGCGAGTATGTCCCGGGATTTTCCCTCGGCTGCAGCGCGACGGAGGCTGTGAAGGACCGTCGGCAACGCCAGGAAGCCGTCGGTGCTGCGCCGTGGGCGGCCTCTTCGCAGTGGGGTAGTTTCACATTCACAGAATCTCACTCTAGCACTACGACGCCCAAGTCCAGGGATCCGAGGGATTTGAAGCGTGTTACTGGTACCGACCGATAAGTGATGCGGAGGTTACAGAGGAGGGAGCTAAGGAGGAGTGAGAAGACGGAGAACGAGTCGCACCATGTGGAGGTGGGGATTGGGAGGAGTGTGCACATAGCAAACAAGCGTAACGGACACTCCTTCTCTGCGAACACCTATTCCGTACATGTACTTCTTCCACTCTTCTCACTTCCAGAGGTCCATAACTCGCGCGCCAACTCCTCCACTTGTTCCCCTCTCCTACTTCATCGTTGATCAGCAACCCGCGAATCCATTCTGCCCGTGAGGAAACCCACGTGTTGTGGGTTTTCTCCACAACAGCATGCGAGATTCGAGGGGAAAACTGGCGTCGGGTTACTCTTTGGGGACAACCTTCGTCTGGGCACTGCTGGAGATGCTTTGCCAAGCAAGATGCGTTTGGCAACTCGGCTTCTCACGGGTGATGATTCTCCAATAAGCAGTAGCGCCAACGGCGGACAATCAGGAAATAAGCAGAGGGATGCAGCTTATATTCGACGCCGGCCGGGTTCCTTGGCGGACCACTGCGGGCAGCGGCGCGGCGCCAGGCCGTGAATGACGGTGTTTTGCAGGACTCGGCGTCGGGTTCATCAGGGGGAGATAGCAACTGCCAACAGGGTGTTATCCCGATACCTGGTTCTCCTCGCAGTACGTAGTAGTGTTACCTTTGCCCGGTTCGGTGTGGATGTCTTGCGCTCGCGAGCCATGCCCAGGCGGTTGTAGCGGAAGAACCACTCGTAAATGACAGAAAATGTTGAAGTATGTCGAACTACTGCTAGCCAACGTGTAAGCTACTATCGACCGCTCTAACCCACTCGATAGTTCACAAGTTGGTCCACTGACTTGAGAGGTGCTCAAAATAATTCAGAGTTATTTGGCGGCTAATGCGCCTGTATATTTGTGACCGATGCGAATCTGCTTACAAGCTATTCATGACTCTAGCATCTATCTGTAGTCGTCGTGATCATTGCTGACGCCTTTGGTATCACACTTTTACTCCGTCCTAGTGAATAAACAAATCCAGAAAATGATGTGGCTCTGAAGAGAGCTTTAACATAATAAACCAAAAGAAAAAACCGCTAATATCCCGAAAAATCCCATTTTATAGCGCGAGGTTGTAAATGCTTTGAAATCCGTGACTCTTTAACCCAAAATCGGTTGCGAGCGCTCCTCGAGGGGAGTGTAACACGCGCTACCCTTCTCCTGCATGGCGCGAAGGCAATCCTCTTCACCGAGGATGTCTTTGCGCAGGGAGGTGACGACCCGCTTGCGGATCTCGCGCTGGATGCCGTAGCGGACGGCGTCCAACACCGTGTTGACCGTAGCCTTGGGCTTGTACGCCGGCTCCGTACCATCCTGGTAGACACCGGTCTTGACCAAGATGCTGTGCCACTCATTGTCCGCGTGCTCGTCGTACAGGTTGGTTCCGCGGATGTCCGACTCGGGCGTGTCGCCGACAAAGTAGACGGTGTCGGGAGGGGCGTCGAGGCCGTGCTGCTGGCGTCTCCATTGCTGCAAGAGCCTCGTCGCGAACTCGAATGTGCTGACCTGAGGCTTGCCAAAGGCGTGTGTGTGGAGCTTGCCCTTCTTCTTGGTAACGTCCTTGAAAGCAACCTCCAGCATGCGGCGGAGCGCACCCATGCCCAAGCGCACGTTGTCGTGGGCCGCAGACCAGACGACGTCGTTGTGGGAGAAGTAGATTGGCGGGCCCTCGTCAAAGGTCTCGCTCAGAGTTCCCATCTTGCCACCCTTGGACATTGCGATATCGAGCATGATTTGGATGTCACCGGCCCAGTCGCGGGAATCGGCAAAGACGAAGACAGCCTCGATGGTGACGTCGGTGAAGTCACGCTCGCGAGAGTTCTTGAGTTCTTCGGGAGTGAGCTTACGGAAGGGTGTTGTGGCCGAGTTGTGCTTGATGATATCGCCGGGCGTAATGACATCCTTGAAGCCGTAGCCCTCAGCGACTTGACGGCACTTCTCGCCCTCGCCACCAACAACCAGGACAGTCTTATATCGGTCAGCCATTTCCCTCATGGGAGTATGGCCACAGATAAATTGTGCGGGGGAGATCTCAATCTCCATCTGTTTTGAGAGGTCGCCGCATCTCTCTTCTTCGGTCTTGCCACCTCCGTTCGTGAGGAAGATGTAAGGACTGAGAACGTTTTTCGTCAGTTTCGACTGTCACTGAGAGATGAGGCTTGGATCGACTTACATCTGAATACCGTATTCGTTCTCGCCGTTGAGCACCTTCATAGCCTCAACAGCTTCGGGGATGGCACGGCCGCCGCGGATAAGAACACCGTCAATGTCGAAGGCGAAGGCGAAGCTGTCGGCGACGGGAGCATCGATACTTATCGAGGGCGTGACGGGTGAAAGCGCACTAGCAGGGCTTCCAACGGGAGATTCGCCAGGGGATGATGCTTCCGAGCCGTCGAGCGAGGAATCAGGAGTGCTAAGTGCCATGTTGTCCAGTTGCTTCCGGGCAGCTTGGATGCTTTCGATGAAGCTGCCGGTGGACGAAGCTCGGTGATTGGGAGCCATGATGGGTGGTTTAGAGAGTGAAACTCCTCAAAACTGCTTGATCAAATGTGGATAAGAGCTGTAAGCCTGGAGATGTTCAGGCTAGTGGTGTTTGACTTGGAGAGTGAAGAGTGAAGCTGTATCTGTCAAAGACGAAGCTTTCGACGAAGATGATAAGTTGAGATTGGGATGAATTGATAAGACAAGCAGGTGTAGATAATTCAAATGGAAATCAAGCGGGGGGCTGCAAGGTTATATACTCTCGGTATGAGGACACCTTGACTTGATGCTGACGTCTCTGCTCTTACTCTCACTCTCTCTCCCTGCCTCTCTCTTTCAGAGAAATGCGCGCTTTCGAGACGCCCCTGCGCTATTCTCTTCCAACATGTGGAAGTCTCCGCTAAAACCAGGCAAACGCGGGTCCTTGCTCAGTGACACCCATGGGATGAGTTTCTTGAGTCGTGCATGGTCGTGGATACCGTGGAGGCGAAGTAGCATGAGAAGTTTTTTTGGATCCAAGACCAGGAGCCTGTCTGCTCCACTTAGAACACAAGGACCATACCTGGTGGTGAAATTTTATGATTATGACAGAATAGGATAAAGACACTGCCCTTTGTTGCGAGAAAAGCATGCTGCAGTCGACGTACGGAGTACTTCCTACTGTACGGATACAGAGTGACAGAGTAAAGGTACTGCCAAATGGGAAAAAATGGACCGGGATGCGGCTACATGCCCAGAGGGAGAAAACTTGTGTGGCACCAAAGGTTCCTCCATCTCACCGCCAGGGCAAGACGACTGGTAGTCCAGGAAAAAACATTGTTCCTGGGCTACTACGGGTTACAAATAAAGATACAAAGTACCGGACGTAGTCCAAGTCACAAAACGGGCGAGTAACCCAGCGAGCCGCCAACAAGAGAAGAGCAAAAGCATGTTTAGGAGGCTCCATACGAAAGTAGAGGGGATCCATCTGGCCAACCGTCATGGTGGAGACTTGGCTTTTCGGGTTCCTCGTTGCGGCTGCAAAAGATTCCGCCGGTGTGTCGCGCAAGGCATATGGGATAGGGGCCTCGAAATGCCCCGAGCAATGATGATGATCTGGGTACCGATGCGGCAGCGATCGACCCTTACCCGAGGCGGCCTTGGCGCGAGGACGAAGCACATGCGAGCCGCTGTCACGGCCGCCGTTGGACCCTGAGGCAAGATGCAGAGGCTTATTACAGCATATACAAAGGCTATTTGGTGTGATTCAATTTCTCTTGCATGCGTTCAGCCATCTACTCGTATCTACCTCTGTCATTCTGCCACGACTCCTGCTCTGATCCATCATCTACGTCTGTCGCCAGCGCAAAGTTACGTCCCAAATGTGGAAGGATAAGCCAGGGGAATTTCAGGGCAACTTGGCCTTGTCACAAGGAATCTAATTCGGACCGGGACCAAGGGTAAAAAAATAAATAAAAAAGGGTAGACAACATGCGGCGTTTCGCATGTCAAGTACATCCTACAATGGGCTTCTTCTCTTCAGCATCAGATAAAGCAGCGCCGGCGCAATCTCTGCCCCTCCTTCGCCCGCCTCCTTGAAGACCCCTCCATGGCTCCTCATTGGGCGTGCGCCTACTTCCTTATCGAAGACTCCTTGCGATACGGCAGGCTGACACAGGGATGGTGCCCGCAGGAAGTGGTGATAGCGCCTGGTGGTGGTCCACAATTGCGAAAATGCACTTGCACCATGAGGTGTGAGATTGTGTATCAAGGAATTTGCCCGTGTGGTGGCCCAGCGGGTTCCATAAAAGCGGGTTACGGAGTCTCCGTAGTGACGTCACGTGGAGTGGATACCGGGGTTGCGGCGACAAGGATTGCGATGTGCGCAACTCGCAGAACGCCCGTGGCTCGGACGGCTGCATTTCATTGGTCGCGCCCACGGACTAGAGGCTCCGCAAGACGGCCCGAAGAAGCAAGTCGTCTCTCTTCTACTGGCTTAGGTAATAGAGTCCCTCCCCCCCCCCCCCCCCCCCCTACGGCAAAGAACCGGGCGTTCAGCGGCATCGGGTCCGGAAACCCCTCGGTCCCTTGGCCGTTCGACACCGGTCCTGCATAATTGCGCTTGTCTCACCATTACTAACTAATCGGGACTTTGAAAGGAAATGAGTGAAAGTATCCGAGGAAAGGCGAAAAAAAACCACCCCAAAAAAACTCTTCCACTGCTGACATTTTCTTCGCAGCATCAGAGAGGCCACTTCGTTCCTTTGCCGCTCATCGTTTGTGTCATCGCCCCGAATGGGCGCACAGGTACTATTCTAGGTTGGTTCATGACTCGGCGAATGACGTCCATCTTGTCCCATTCTCCATCCAAAGGTACGAGTACACAATGCAGGCAGAGTCCAGACTGAGTGCGACTGTGTTCAGGGTAGTTGCGTGAACAGGGCCACAAAACATCACCAAGTCTAGAACACTGATACCCAAAGAAACCACGCATCTCCAGACCATCCACTTATGCTGTACCCGCTCACAACATGTGTATTTTGTGGCCTGTTCCTCTGGAAAGTCCGGGGGTTTCATTATTCTGTGACTGTCGGTTGACCTCAACGTTTCTCGTGCGGATAACTGGGTATGGCAAGGACACGGGCAGTGTATCTAGTGAACGAACGCGAATCTTGGTGTATTCGTAGCATGGAAGGGGTTCGAGATAACGATGCAGGAGCGATTGCTCAGCAGCTCGATACCCGTCCTGCCGTATTACACGCTTCACCGTACACACCTGAGATATGCGGTTGCACCTGTAGACGTGTATCCTCCGTCGTGGGCCTTTGCTTCCCTCTGCGGCCGGCCTACCGTCACCGTTGTTTTTTTTCCTGGCTGCACAACGACGCCATTACCCAACGTTGCCGAGCCGTGAAAAGACGCCTGCGGTCGACCAAGCGAAAACCAGGCTACAGCCCGGCGCTATTACTGTCGCGTCCCGCTGCCGCCATACACGCTACTCGTCAGTCGCATTGTGATGCCGTCACCGTCGGCCAAACTCCATGCAGACAACCCCTGCCCCCTGTCCGTACCCATACTGTAGGCAAGGGATGGAGCCCCGTCACTCGTTGAGCCAGCTGAATGCACCTATCAATGCCGTCTTATTCGTCCGTTGCCCTCGCCTGGACAGTTGGAAAACCACCAAAGACGGTGAAATTGGAAACCGGAACCACAATTCGCTCAAACAACAGGCAGACGAAAGAGAAGAATGAGGGATGGGCAGAAGGGGGCTTTGGCTTGCATACGGAGGCCTGGTCCTTGCCCAGTCATAAGAGGATAAGAAGGTTTGATGGGAGGGAAAAGGAAATCAACGGGTCGGCGTGACTGGCCAATATGAGCACGCAAGTGGATTCGAGGAATACCGCTCACTTGCTAATAATCAATCATACATTCCTCAATCCTTGGACTTTTGTTTCATCCTGTGGTGCTTGAATGCGCCGGTTGGAACGGTAGGCGGTCTTTGCAACGGTGTCTCTTTCTTTGCCCCTCCGTGCCCTCCTAAATCCCTCATCGTGTCGTACCTTTATCTGATTCCTCCACGAGCCGGCATTTTATCTTCTACTCAGCCAATAGGCGGGATACCCCGATACCAAAGCACTTTAAAATGAACATCCGAGTCCGAGGGTGATAGGCTTAGAGCGCTTTATTGAAGATTAACAAAGAGGCCGCCGTCGACCAGCAACTGCGCGCCTGTCACATAACCACTGAGGTACTCGCAGGCGAGAAATACGGCGGGCCCGGCGAGGTCGGACGGCACGCCGGTGCGGCCCAAAGGAATGCGGCCCTCCGTGTAGGCCCGCTTGGCATCGTCGGCCAGATCCTCCTCGTTGAGCTGCGTCTTGATTGTACCAGGGAGCAGAGCATTGCAGCGGATATTGTATTTTCCCAAGGCAACAGCAGTGCTTTGCATGAGGCTGAGTACACCAGCTTTGGTAGGGGTGTAGTGTGTCTGCTGGCCACCACCGACGAGGGCCGAGATGGACGAGATACCGATGATGCTACCTCCAGCGGGTGATTGCTGGCTCATCTGGCGAGCGGCTGCCTGTACAACATAGAAGGCACCGTCAAGGTTGGTACGGACTGTCTTGGTGAACAGGTCTGGTGTCAGCTCGAGGAACTCGGCGAATGTGCAGATGCCAGCATTGGAGACGCAGATGTCTAGACGGGCGTTGCCGGAATGCTCGACGGCACGCGCAACCAGCTTTGCTGCCGTCTCGGGCTCGCGAACATCGCCAGTTATATCGGCCAGACGGCCCGCGTTGGGGTTCTCCTGCTTAGCAGCAGCGGCGTCGGCAATGAGAGCATCAAGGTGGGGCTGGTCCTTTTCAAGACCCAAATGGTTCACGACAACGTTGGCACCCTGCTTTATGTATTCCAACGCAATAGCCTTCCCGATACCAGTAGTGCCGCCCGTGATGATGGCAGTCTTGCCAGCAAGCAGATTCGTCGGGGCCATTGTGTACTACTTGTGGATGTGGCGAGCTTCCCAGAGAAGAAAAGCTGTTGTCGTTGTAGTATAGAAGGTATGAAGTCGAAATGAGTTCGGATGCGGGGTTGTCTTGGACGGTAGGACGTCGAATCAGACCCTGGTAATTGGATCAGCCAAAGGGTTAAGCGGTGGACGATTGGCGATAGATGGCAAACGATTAGCGAGTGATCGTGCTCGTGTGTAGATTTGTTGTAGGCTTCGGCTTTGCTCGTGCGCGAGGACGGATGGCTACCAAGTCTATATTTGTAGTCCACGATACATGCACGATGGCGTTCTGGTTGGTGCGGAGGAGGCGCGACGGAGCTGTCAGGGCGGAGGGGGGTTATTGTGCAGCGAGGGCGGCTCAAGTGAGACCCGATGACCGAGCCACGACTGCCGCCCGCTGCAGGAAGTGCCTTCCGAGTCCACGATGCCTACCTACTCGGGGACCTTAGGTAAGAAGGTAGGTATTAACTATCACCTGTGTAGTGTATTCGTAGCCCAGCGCAGCTGCCGATGGCGGACCCGTCCGTGGGTCCCCTTTTTATTCGGAATTCCCCATGACTTGTGGGCATCCCACTTTCCACCCCGCACTCTCGGTCACAATTGTAGCGAGCATCCCCCACCAACCACCATGCCAACCATCCCACCTGCTTCATCTTTCATGCTCTGGCCATGGACGACGGCTTTTCCTCCACATTGTTTGGAATTCCTTCACTCCGCCCTCACTGTCTTTCGTCTGGTTTCTTACTCTTTCGATGCACGTTGAGTAGAGTAATTGTAGGTCAGACTAGACATGGAACCCCCACACTCCGCGTGTGCCGTGCACTGCTCCGCGAAGCTCGGCTTGATCGTCACAGGCCAAGTCGAAAGCCTTTGGTTGAGATACGAGCTAGCTCAAGTTGTTGTCCGCCCAGTTTCAATCAATCATGTCCTCCTCATTCAAGACTTTCGGGTCCTCAACCTAGACCGTCAAGAGACACCGTTTCCAATTCATGATAGTCACCAACACGATGTGTAGTTGCTGTAAATATTGTCATAAATCTATTCCACGTGGCACCTAAATATGATAGGTGGTTCGTCATGTACATTGCGCCGATAAGTGATGCTCAATACAGCCGCACAGCTGAATCCAACCGCCCCGGTCTAAGTATCCCCAATAGCCATTCAAGTGACATGCTATTCTACTTTGACAATGTTCCCGGCTCTTGTAACTCGGCCGCATCATCACACACAAGGCCGTTGCTTTATTTCGCTTCCGTCTCCTCCACCGACTTGA